AGTAAATACTTGTTGAATGAATGAATGCATGAATGCATATAAGTGGTATGGCACAGTGGCTAGTAATTTGGCATTAAAAATGTTTAATTAGCTATGTGATTAAGGGTAGTGATTAACCTCTATCTCCTCTGAAAAAATGGGAATAATAATGGTATTACATGAAGCTATTTTGAAGATTCAATGGGGTCCTCTATACAAGGCAGTGGAACAGTGATTGACACATTGAGCTCAATTAACATTAGCTTCTATTATCCCAATCCTCTGAGCTTTGCTGTTTCCCTCTATAAAACAGGGAACATTCCAGTTTCTCTTAGGGTTGCAGTAAGGACTAAACAACCATTATGTACATAATGTGCCTAGCACAATTGCTGGCACAGAGAAAGCCATCAGTAAGTGTTTGCTATTATTGACTTAGTCCCTCCCCTGTGTTGGGTGGGGGACATGGAGATGGGTCAGTTAAGTACCCCATCCACTGGAAGCTCACAGCCAGAGAAGTATTAAGATAATTATGTCATGGTGTAGTGAGTGTATAGAAAGCCAAGAGAGCAACCAGTGGCAGAAGCACGATGCTAAAGTTTGCCAGTGGGATGTTTTTAAACGTTTTATCTGCCTCTTTTTTTTTTTTCCTTTAAGTACATGGACCTGACATGCGCTGGGATATAGCTCAGCAGCGAAGCGTTGGCCTAGCTGAGGAACCAACCCAGTGCCTCATACAAGCTAGTAAAGCGCTCCACTACAACCCGAGCCCCCACAGTGGAATCTTGTCCCTCCTAAAACCAGAGGCTTAGACCTTAAAGGAAACTACATATGTCTATAGCAGGGAAAAAATGGAAACAACCTTGGTATCCAACAGAGGCGTCCGGATCAATCACTTCTGGTATGTTCTTATAATGTATCCATAGGAACATTAAATATGATGGTGTTAAATAGGGGATGGAAACTGGTTAGGGGACTGGTTGGGGTTTACTTTTCATTGAACCCTGCATTTAGCACCATGTTCAAAAATAAACATTGCTTTTAAGATTATAAATTTAAATGTTATGGGAAAAATTGTGATACCACAATTCAAGGTTCACAGTAAAGTTATCTGGAAAAAAAAATTGTCAAACAGCATCTTATTTTACATCTACATAAAAAGACTAGAGAGGAATACAAAATAGTAGTAGTATAATCGCTCGTTGGTCAGCTTACTGAGGAGTTTTACTCTACTCTCTGGACTCCCCAGAGTACTGCAAAGATTCTACATTAAGCTCCTGGATGTTTGTTTTCGCCTTTGGGATTATGTTTAAAACTACAAGTCCCAGCAGACACCGCGCTGCCGGCTTCTGGAGAGAGGCCTCCCCTGACGCAATGATCGCTGGGATTCGTAGTCGAGTGGTAAAAGCAAGGTGGGACGCACACTACCGGCATAGATGACAGAGGGGGAATCATCACCGTTCTGACCAATGGACAATGGTTACCGGACCTGAGTGGCGGGCGAAAACCTAATGGGAGGGCCGCTGCTCCTGAGTGACGTGTCTTGCAGCCTACAGGCGGCTCTTGGGGCGGGGCGGCGCGCGGCGGCTGTAGTGCGAACCATGGGAGGCGGCTGGTGGTGGGCTCGGGTCGCCCGCCTGGCCCGAGTCCGCTTCCGGGGGGCGCTGCTACCGCCTCAGCGGCCCCGGAGTGGGGGCGCCCGGGGGTCCTTCGCCCCCGGCCACGGTCCCCGCGCCGGAGCTTCTCCGCCCCCAGTGTCCGAATTGGACCGCGCGGACGCCTGGCTCCTCCGAAAGGCTCACGAGACAGGTCTGTGGTAGGGAATGGGATCAGCTCGGGTGAGAGACGGGGGACCGTGTGGCTGAGCGGTGGGCGTATGTGTGCGGGGACGAGGGTGCGTGCGGTTCCTGCTGGAAACAGGGCCTGGGCTCGGCAGGGAGAAGGGCTTCCGTATAAGCGCAGAGAAACCCTGGTCGAGGAGCGCAGGAGGTCCGCATCGGGCAAGGACTTGCGGTAGGAGGAGTGCTCGGGTTAATGAGGTGCAGGAGGGATCTCAAGCGGTGGTCCGACGAGGAGAGGCAGCTTGATAGAATTGCGCCTTTCTGGATGAAAGAGGTTTGCAGAGGCAGCCTAAGAGTGAGGGAGTTGTTTGCAAGAGGGGTCCATTCGAATTGTAGAGGCGACCACTCGGTATAAAGCGGGAGTGTGGCTCCCCGCAGAAGATGGGGACGCTCCGGATTGGAGGAGGGCACAACCAATAGAAGAAAAGTTCTGGTCTGATTGGAGGGAGAGGTGATCTATGCTGCAGGGGGAGGGAACTCAACAAGGGGTGGGGGTGGCAGTTTGGAGGTATAGTGAGATAGTGTGGGGTCTTGTAATGGGACCAGCCTGCCAACACCACGCAGGAATTTGAGCGGGGGTGGTGGGGAGATGTGGATGCATTGAGGACGACCATACCCGGTAGGAGAGGGTGGCATTTGGAGGAAGGTGAAGAGGGAAGCTGGAGAAAGGCTTGGGTGGGAGGAGCCTATTCCAGGTGTCTGAGAAAGAAGTGGGGGGGGGCATGGAGATACCATGTGGGCAGGAGGGTGACCAGGACCACCTCTTGGGGTTTTCCTGCCTTCAGATGGAGATTCTTCACTTTGGGCTCTAAATTGCCCTCCAGGTTCTGCAGACTGACTTGAATCTCAGGTGTTGCAGAATTTGGGGGAGGGGGCTCAGTGATGGGGTGAGAGATTGAGGTGACAGGGTTTGGTGGGGGGCTGGATGGGGTAGAAGTGGGGTGAGGGGAAGGCCCAGGGTTTGACTCTCTGGGTGGGGTGGGGGTTGGGAGTGGGAGTCAGGCTGGGCTGACATTGAGCTTCCATCTCCCCCTCTCTCCAGCCTTCCTCTCCTGGTTCCGCAATGGCCTCCTGGCATCTGGCATCGGGGTCATCTCCTTCATGCAGAGTGACATGGGTCGGGAAGCAGCCTATGGTGAGTGTAGACCCCTGCTCTCACTCTCAAGGGAGTGAGGGTGTTCCCTCTCAACATGGACTCCCTCCTGCCCCTCCCCCAGTTATAAATGTAGAGCCTCTCACTCTTCCACGGGACACACTGGTGAGTGTGGGCCTCCCACCCACCCCTATTCAGGGGCCCAGATCCCTCAAGTGGTGGCCCAGGGCATGGCTATGGGGCTTCCTCTTCCAATCTGATTTCTTAGAGATGAAGGGCCTTTGTCCAGCCCTCCTGCATGGCCCTGCCTCTGCCCCTCCAGCATTCTCTTTGCTCCCAGACCAGCCCTTACTCTCCTGGACTTCACTTCCAAGCATGGACACCCCGATTCCTGTTTATGCGCAGCCTCCTTGGTCCTGGCCCTGAACTGCTCCAGCCCCCTAATCCACCCTTGGGTTTGCTCCAATCCCTTCCTAGCTCAGCCTCTGTCCCTGATCTCCCCCAGCCCCTCAAGGGGGCAGCACCAGGCTGGTGCTCCAGTCCCTGCCCTCCATTGACCGTGGTCTTGTCTTCCACAGGCTTCTTCCTGCTGGGCGGCCTGTGTGTAGTGTGGGGCGGCGCCTCCTATGCCGTGGGCCTAGCGTCGCTGCGGGGACCCATGCAGCTCTCTCTGGGGGGCGCGGCGGCGGGCGTTGGGGCCGTGCTGGCTGCTAGTCTGCTCTGGGCTTGTGCCGTCGGCCTCTACATGGGCCAGCTAGAGCTTGATGTGGAACTGGTACCCGAGGACGATGGGGCGGCCAGCGCCGAAGGCCCAGATGAAGCAGGCCGGCCACCGCCTGAGTAAGAGACCGGCTGGTGCTGGGCGGCCCAGGCCCCAGGACTGGGACATTAAAACCTGACCCTTCCCTCGCTCCAGAGTGGTGGTTCCTGTTGCTTGGGGAAGGCTGGGCCTGGAGGAGGTGGGGCCGAGGGAGGAGGGCAGTGGGGACTGCGGGGGTTGGGGGTGGAGAGGGCAGTGGGTTCGGTGGGGCCGGCAGGTGGAGCTCATCCAGGAGACGAGATGGAGTTGGAGCCGGTGCCCAGCCCCTCCCGCGGGCGTTTAATTCTCAAGAGGGCTGACAGCTTGGCCCCGCCACGCCCTCCCCAGGTCCACTGCCCCGCGGTCCTCAGTCCCCCTTCCGCGACACCCTGGTGCCCGGAGGCCCGGGGTAGGGCAGGCCCAGGCTGGGATAGAAGGCCTCGGGGAGCGCGGGGCCGGGACCCAGCCGCGGCAGGTGCGGGTACACGAGGCCCAGCTCGGCGGGGCCGTAGCGGATGGCGCCGGGCGTGCACAGGCTCCGCACCACGGGCGGCAGGAAGCCTGCGTGGAGCAGGGCGGGTGGGGGGTCCCCGGGCGGCGCCAGGCCCCACGGCCGCACCGGATCCTGCTTCAGCGCCCCGGCCCGGATGACAGACGTGAACTCCCGTCGCGGCGGGGCGGGCCGTTTGGAGGGCTCCTCGTCCCCACTGTCCTCGAGGCCTTGCCTTTCCCTGGGAGCCGGTTCCACCTTGATGCGTTTGCCGTGCGTCTGCGGGGCCTCGTCCTTGTCGGCGGGGACGACCTGCTTCCTCTCCACCGGGGGCTCCCGCTCTGGAAGAGGCCGATTCTGAAGCCCTCAGCCTTCCCACGTGGGCTGGGGGCTTGCCCTGCCCTTCTCAGCTAGGGAACACTTGCTGAGGTTGTCACACTGGGAGGGGGCCACTGCATGTAGTGGGCAGAGGACAGCAAAGGATCGTCCAGCCGAAAACAGGAGTAGAGCTGAGGTTGAGAAGTCCCGATCTAGACCTGTGCTGATCCATGAAACTTTCCAGAATACAACGTTCCACTTACTGGAAATGTTTTAGGTCTGCACTGTCCCATGTGGCGAGGAGTATGATCAAGATGTGGATTCCTTTTCTTTCTTTTATTCTTTTTTGGTAGCAGGGATTGAACCCAGGGACTCTTAACCACTGAGCCCCGTCCTCAACTCTTTTTCTTTTGAGACAGGGCCTTGTAAGTTGCTTAGGGCCTCACTAAGTTGCTGAGGCTGGCTTCAAACTTGAGATCCTTCTGCCTGGCTGGTTGCTGGATTACAGGCATGTGCCAGTGGATTTTTAATGTAAATAGCCACATGTGGCTTCCAGACAGGACACTGCAGGACTCAGCAGTCCTGAGGGGCTTCCCAGGGCCCCAGGTGGGAGGGGCTTACCTGTGTGCTCTGGCCCTGGGCTGGATGTGTCCTCACAGGGCACACTGGCTGGAAGCTGGAAGGCATCCAGAGGTGTTTGGCCACACTCCGCTTGGCTGGGGACAAGAGGATGGCATTGGGAGCCAGGGGTCCCTGGCTGCCCAGCCTCTGGCAAGGGAAGGTGCCCTCCAGCCCCACACCACCTGCAGCAGTAAGTGAAGTCCCCCCCTACACTGTGAGTGCAGGTGACCGCACCAGGTAATATGGAGCCTCCACCCCAAAGTACTGAAAGGACTCTTCTCCAGACCCCCAAACTCCAAGTTGGCTTCTAGCCCAACCACACAGATCCACACAGCCATTGGCCAGCCTGCTGGCACTGTCTGGGTGCCCCTGGGCACCGTGTGCTCCTGCTGGCACTGTCTGGGTATGCCCAGGCACCCTGTGCTCCTGCTGTTTCTGTCTGGGTGCCCCCGGGCACCCTGTGCTCATGTGATCTCAGCATCTCCTTCCAGAACTGCGGCTCCCCTCCAGAGCCCAGATCTGAGCAGAAGACTGCTTTCTCTCCCTCCTGCAGCCTTAGAGTCTGGCATTTCCCAAACCTGCCCCAGCCTACTTTCTGCCCCCAGCACCCGTTTTGCTTCTCAGACCCTCATCTTCATAGTAGCAAGAGAGTTTTTCCCCAAAGCAGATTTGACTATGACCCTCCTCAGATCTAAAGCCGCCTATGGCTCCCCAGTGCCCCATATGAAAGGCCTCTAGACATGCTCAGCCTTTTCTTTCATGACTTTATACGCCGGCCCCAAGCCATGCCCCTACTTCCTGTTGCCCTGAGCCCATTTCTGCTGGGCCTCTGATGGCAACAGCTTTCCCTCCTCTGCCTTTCCCACTCATTTTCCATTAGTCGGTCTACTCCGTGGCCCTCCCCTGGTAGGAGCCTACTATGGCTCCCCAGTGTCCAGAGTCAATTTCAAGTCCTTAGCCTGGACTGGAAGCCACCATGAACCTGCCCCTCCCTCCCAACTCTTCTGTGTCCTGCCAGTGAGACCGTCCCCTCCAGGCTCTCCCTCTCACTCAGGACTTGTCCTGTTCCCAAGGCTCTCCCTGAAGACCCCCACCCTGAGCTGCGGACAGGTGGCAGAATCCTTGGGAGGAGTTCTCGGGGGCTGGGCCCTGCGCCCGCAGGAGGGGTGCAGCAGCTCTCACCTGAGCACATGGCTGACCCAGAGCACGTGATGCTCCCCAGGGCTCTTCCCGCTGCCAGCCACGGTGGCCACAGACTGCAGCCACACGAAGCCCCCAGCACGCTGCAGCCAACGGTAGTAACCGGTCATCACCTGGCCCTTGTCCAGCACTGGACCCAGCCCAGAGGTCAGAAGAGACCCAAGGGACAGGGCAGGGTGGGGACGGGGAGGGGGTCAGAAATGGTGGACAGGAGGAGGGGGCAGAGAGGGAAAGACCAGCAGAGAGAGGGAGACAGAGAGCCAGAGTCAGAGCCCAGGGGTGGTCCAGTGCGGAAGCCTGCAGCGTTTCAAGGGTGGGTCAGAGGCCCCACAGCCCCCTTTAGCCCTCCGCCCACACCCTGAGTCCTTGCTGAGTCTCCTGCTGCCCTCTTCGTGTGACAGATTGAGCCCTTGGAACCACAGGTGCAGCAGGAGGCACCGTGGCCAGCCCTGAAGGAGGACTTCAGGGCACAGTGAGGGTACTCAGGTCTGGTTTGTGTTGGGGGGGGGTCTGTGGTGTGTCTCACGGTCCAGGTGGCTTTGGCGGATCCTGGTTGCATCCTGTCCATGGACGAACTGGTAGCAGCTGCGGCCCACAAGCTCTGAGGGCCCCAGGTCCATATGGTCGCTGACTCTGGGATGACAGAAGAGGGGAGGAGTCCAAGACCATGGTGTGGGGGAAACAGAGTTGGCTCCAGAGTGACCCGGGGTCCAAGCCCTTGCCCTGAGGGCTCCGGGCTTCTGTTCAGCTGTGAAGTGGGCATGATAATAATAGTGCCCCTCGCAGGGTGGCTGCGAGCGTGTGGCAGAGCAGGGCTTTGATGGTGCTCTCAGCACAGGGACTGTTTCACTGTTGATCTTCCCCACCGCCCAGTGCAGGAGTGGAGGGAGGAGAGGCCCCAGAGGAAAGGGCTGGGGAGGGGCGGAGCTCCGCTGGCCCCGCCCTCCTCCAGCCCCAAGGATACCACCCAGGCCGAGGCGGGAAGGGGCATCCCTTCTGCCAGTCACCCTGCCCCTCCGCTGCTCTTCCTCCTCCCGAGGTCCCTGATGCCCCAGTCTGCAGGCCCAGCAGTCCCTTTGACTTCCACAGAACCCCAGGTCTCCTGTGCGCCCCTATCCATGTGCCCCAGTCCCCGACCCCGGTACCTGCTCTCACAAGCAAGGATGGTGAGACCCAGGCTGAGGCGGAAGACGATCATGTGTCCATGCAGAGGCAGCTCAGCCAGTGGGGCTGGGGGCAAGGTGTGACCCAGAGCCACCAGGCCCAACGCGCGGGCCCGCAGGCGCCCTGTCACGTGGATGACCTGCTGGTGGTGGGTGTAGTTGGGGACAAGCAAGGCGGTACCAGTGGGTAGTGGGCATGGTCGGGGCGGGGCAAGGCCAGGGGCAGGAAGACCATAACCAGGCCATTCCACCAGGTTCCACCTGTCACCCAGAGGCCCTGGGGCACGGAGGGAAAGGAGGGGCCCCCAGATCCTAGACCTGGTTCCCTAAACCATCTATAGCTAGAGAAGCCTCCACCAGGTTTCTCTCGGTCACCCTCGGACCAGGGACATCGCTGGCAGGGATGCACAAGCTCTACCCCAGACCACAGGATGTGCCTCAGAGGCTGAGACCAGATGCCCACACCCACCTTGTACCCCGAGGCCTTGACGTGCAGCCCCCGCTTGGTGAGGGTGGATTTCATGCGGATGAAGAAGGAGCGCTCCTGCACCCGGGAGGAGGCGGGCCCCTCGGCAGGGCTGGTCTCTGGGGAGGACAGCAGGGCAGTTATGGGGTCCTAGAGAGGTCACACAGCCCCACCCACCGCAGAGCCAGCGAGACCCGGGACCCCGATAGGTTCCCAGTGCACCCCTCAGAGAACACCCGACCATGCGGCTCGTTGCCACCTGCCCGTCTCCCCTCTGCTGCCGCCAGGCGGGTCTTCAAGCTCCCACCAGACCCTGGCCCTCCTGACCCCACCACCACAGCTCCCCAGGGTCCTGCAGCCTCTTCCTCCAGGTCTGGGCTCACACATCTCCAGGAAGCCCCTCTCTGATCCCCAGGCGAGGCCAGCTGTCGGGATATGGGTCCCCTATCTGGGCTCTGTCCAGTTTCAACTGTCAGTCTGTCAGGACCAGGTCAGTCTTCCCCACTGGACTGTGAACTCCAGGAGGATGGAACCCCCTACTCTGTCCCCAGCATAGGACCTGGCACAGAGGGAGGCTCGGGAATAGCAACTAATGAAACTCAAAAATCCAGATTACCCTGTGAGCCCTGATATGGTCTTATAAAAATGCTCACATAAGTACTGTGAGCCTCAAGTTCAGGTGCAGACAGCCACACTTCTTCCTCGTGTGTAACAGACGTCCCCCCCAAGCTGGCAGTCCCTGCTGATGTACCAGGTGTTTCTGGTGTTTAGCAAACCCAATATAGGAAAATTCAATTTACGGGAGAGTTAAACCTCATAGGCCCCCAACATTTCAGAGCTAAAAGTAGCTTTCAGGATCTAATCTCCAACACTCTCTCTCTGCACCACAAGAGTGGAAATTTCCACTGGGGGAAAGAGAGACAAGCCTGGGCTGGAGTCCAATTCAATCACTTATAGCTGTGTGACCCGGGGCAATTAACTTAACCTCTCTGTGCTGTGTCTCCGTGTTCTGCTGTGTAATGTGGAGATAATAGTTCCTGCTTTTAGTTAGAATCCAATGCAATTATGTACTTAAAGGCACAGCACAATGCGAATGTCCCCCTACGCGTGCCTGCCTGCCAGATTATTTTCCGAAGTCCCTCCCACCTTTATTCAGCAGGCAGAGAGGTCTTTCTGAAACTCACATCTTGGGGAGCCTGGCCATTCTAGGGAGTTTGGCAGTTTTAGCGAGCCGAGTCTCAGCGCTCTGGCCGATTCGTTCTACAGACTTGCTTTGCGCAACTCGAGGGAGAGTGGGTTTCGTTTAAAGGAGACAGCAGAACAGGCGGCCCCCTGGTTCACCCGGGCTTCCTTCTTTTGGGGGGGTCCTTGGAATTACCGATCTCTGGGGCATCCGCCAGCGAGGAGGAGGAAGAGGAGGAAGAGGACGAGACGGAGGGCGGGGTGGGGGGCCCGGGGGTCGGGGTCCGCAGCCCCAGTTGTTCCAGAACCTCCGAGTGGTCCCCGGGGTGGATGTAGTCGAAGACGCTGCTGCCAGTCAGCTCCACCTGCCGGCGGCCGAGGGGAGCGCAGGGGCGCGTCAGGTGCGCGCGCAGCCTCTCGCCCCAGGGGGTGGGGCCCGCGCGCAAGTGTGCCCCGCGCCAACCCTGGGCTTTTAGCAGAAATAACGTTCACCTGCTTAATGGAGGCCACAAACAGGTTCTTCCTGCGCCCTCCCAGGGGAGAGTCGTGCCCAGGGATTATTAAAGTTTTTCTAACTCTGACTGCTCTAGGAAGAGGGGGCCCTGGGCTGACAGCGGGTTGTCACAGCCGCGGTTTTCTCGCTCCCCTCCGCTCCCACCCTACAGCAGGCAGCCTGTCCCCGCGGGGATCGCAGGGAACTCGGAAAGCGAGCGCTGGGGTAGCTTCCCAGCCCTGGAAAGCGTGAGAGCCCTCAAAGCAGCGCCTCTCCATTCACGTCGACCTCCAAAATCTCTCGCAGGGGTCCTTCTCTCCCCGCCGCCCCCAGCCCGGACCCCCATCTTCTCCACTGCACTCTTGCCCCGAGTCCCCACTCAAGCCCCCTCCCCACATTGCTAATTGACCACAGCTCTCCATTCATCGCCCCGGGGTCACGGGTCTCCCACTAGTCTTCATCCCTCTGGACTGCTCCCCCTCATTGACTCTGATCTCACTTTTTTTTTTTTTTGCATCTGAGATTGATCCCAGGGGCACTGAGTCACATCCCCAGTCCTTTTTTATATTTTGAGACCAAGTCTTGCTAAGTTGCTGAGGCTGGCTTTGAACTTGCAATCCTCCTGCCTCGGCCTCCTGAGTCACGGGGGTTACAGGCATGCACCACCTGGCTTTGAGCCCCCCTTTTTTGCGGGGGTACTGGGGAGTGAACTCAGGGGCACTCAATCACCGAGCCACATCCCCAGCCCTATTTTATTTAGAGACAGGGTCTCACCGAGTTGCTTAGCGCCTGCCTTGCTTTGGCTGAGTCTGGCTTTGACGTCTCAATTCTCCTGCCTCAGCCTGCTGAGCCACTGGATATAGGCTTGAACCATCCCCCCAGCTTTGACCCCCCCCTTTTAAGCCTTTCTTCACTCTTCCTGTGTGCCCCCTTCCTCTTGTCCAAATTCCTTTTCTTTCTCTTCCCACTCCAGGAATCTCTAACAACCTGATGACCAACAAAAACCAGCTAGACAATGAACCAAGTTCCCCAATTTCCCATTTGCCAACAGATTTGTAGAAATGATAAAAGTTGATAGCGATCTGCATTGAATGGATTGGCTAGGCCTAGAAGCTGTAAAAGGCCAGGGCTCCTGAGCCAGGGGCTTCTGAGTCTCCCTGCCCTCCTTTTATTTTGCAGGAGCCGGGGCAGAAACAGCATGTTGAGTTAACGACATAATGAGAGTCAATCAACTAAAACAGCAAGGTGGCATACACCTGTGTAATCCTCGTGAGCCAGGAGGCTGAGGCAGGAGGGTCACCCGTCCCAGGCCAGCTTCTGCAACTCAGGAAGGCCCTGTCCCAAAGAGGACTGAGAATGTAGCTTAGTGGTAAATTGTCGCACGGTTCAATCTCCAGTTCAGGAGTGGGGACATACTCACTCCCCAAGGCCGTGGAGCCTCAAACCCTTCCAAGATGAATTGCTACAAACTTTAAAATGATTAAAAGGAGTGTGCTGGCAAACACGGTGCACCTGGCTAACCAGTTACTGACAAACGGATCTTTCAGCTCATTTGCTTTCCTCAAATTGACTTGTTATTTTAATGACTCTTCCCCCAACCACCACCATGAAGATGAGCTGGGGGGTGCCACATGGGGTTCCAAGGAGCACACTTTGGGGACTGTGGATTCAGTCCATTTCTTTTATGGGTGGGGTCTGGAGAGAGCAAAAGCAAGCACGGGCCAGGCGGTGGAGATGGTGGCCCCCTGGTGGTCCTTACCTGTGAGAGGCCCAGGTAGATGGAAACTGTTTCTGAGATGTAGAGGAATTTTCCTTCCTGGTTCAAGGCGAACACAAAGCCGTCTAGGGACTAGAGTCGGGAGAAACGGAGGCAGGAGTAGGGAGGATTTCCAGCCAGCAAGCGGGAAGGAAAGCTCTGAAATCTGGGTCTCTGCCTGGGGGTGGTGGGCTTCGGTGACCCTTGAAACGGGCAGGCAACAGCGAAGCCCGGCATTCACTCCCCAGGGGATGATGCGGCAGAAGGGGTGCTGTTCCCCGATGTGGCCACCAGGTGGCAGTGAGGAGCAACAGGCTAGGAAAGGGCCTCACCTGCAAGATGTGTCCTCCCAGGTGCTGCTCGAAGACCTCGGAGACCAGCGCCGCGGGGCCCCGGCGGCCTGAGGCTGGGGCGGAGGGAAGGATGCGGCCAGGGCCTATTGGTCTGGCTGACCTTGGCCTGGGAAGGCCCCCAGGGAGCCAGGCTACAAATCCCCCACGATTCCCCCAAGTGACCAGGGCCCAGTAGAGAAGAGACCAGAGGTGGGGCGGGGGCAGAGTCACAAATACAGTGACTGAGACAGGCAGATGGGGGTGCAGAGAGGGATTCGTTCATTCCCACTCACTAATGCCCCCAAAGCTCACTAAATACCTCTGCCATAGGTCCTGCAGTGGGCAGTGCTGGGGTGACCAGGTGACTGGGACAGCCCAGCCGGCCCTCACTGAGCTCCCAGGCCAGGTGCAGATGAAGAAAAGCAAGAAACTAACAGGCACAGAACCATCATTTGTGGCCAGTGTCATGGAGAATAGAATAGGTGGGGGACATCTGAACAGAGGACTGAAGGCTGAGGAGGCGGGTGGGAGAGGGGCTGAGAGAGACCCCGGGAAACAGGAAGGAACCTGGGGATTGCAACAGGACAGCCCAGTTCAAAAATGGGCAAAAGACTTGAATAGGCTTTTCTCCAGGGAAGATGTACAGATGGTTAACAAGCTCTGAAAAGGTGTTCAACGTCCTTAGTCATCAGGGAAATGCAAATCACACCACGCCTGTAATCCCAGCGGCTCAGGAGGCTGAGGCAGGAGGATCCAGAGTTCAAAGCCAGCCTCAGCAAAAGCGAGGCACTAAGCAACTCAGTGACACCCTGTCTCTAAATAAAACACAAAATAGGGCTGGGGATGGGGCTCAGTGGTGAGTGTCCCTGAGCTTAATCCCTGGTACCCAAAACAAAACAGAACAAAACACCACAGTGACAGCTGGCACGGGGGGGGGGGTCCTGGGCGCGGGGGTGCAGGCCTGTAATTCCTGCAACTCAGGAGACTGAGGCAGGAGGACCGAAAGTTTTGAGGCCAGCGTTAGGAACTTAGCGAGACCCTGTTTCAAAATGAAGAAATAAAAATAAAAAGGGCTGGGGATGTGCTCAGGGGTAAAGCACCCCTGGGTTCAGTCCCCAGTAACCAAACCAAACCAAACCAAAACACAGTGACACACCACTTCATACCCACCGGGATGGCTACAGTTAAAACAAAACAACCCCCAAAACAGAAACCAAGCATTGGCAAGGACGGGAGAAACGGGGTCGTACGTCGCTGGGGGTGCACGACAGCCCGGCGGCTGTGGCCCTCATGTGGTGGGGACTGCGAGGGCAGAGGTTGGGCTCCTGGTGTGCAACCAGGGGGTCGAATCAGGGAACAAACACGAGTGCCTGTGGGTCCACCCGGCGTTATTCACCTGGTCCAAGAGGGGGACCCCCAAATGTGCTGGAGGTTGGCAGAGGTACCAGAGTCCTGGACTCTGTCCCCACCCAGATTCCCAGGGTGACCCTGACCCTGCAGAGTTGACCCCCTAAGGGAGAGGCAGGCACTCTGGGGAGGACTTGGTTCCTCAAGAGTCCCCAAGGGCTGGCTTCCAGTGCCATCCTGCCCTGACCAGCCCCTCCTCCTCTCTGAGCCCCAGTTTCCTGCTCTGCCAGGTGGGTTTGGGGGTACGGGTCTCCCCCAGGGCCACAGCCCCAGCCGCCCGGCCCAGAGCGGGTGTGTATTCATCGCATTAATCGTGTGATTACTGTTGTTACGACCAGGCCACCAGGCCATCAAAACACCGGGCCATGACAACCGCCCAGGCCGCCCTGGCCCCCCAGTGTCTGGCCAAGCCTCCCCCAGCGCCCCAATCCTACTGCTGCTCCTCTCTCCTCCCCCTGCAGCTCCAGGAACAATAACTGGGGAGGGGGGCGGCAGACCCTCCCGAGACGCAGCTCCCACCATCCTGGTGACAGGCGGGAACAATGCGGGCCTGCTAATTGTCGCAATTTTCCCTGTCATTTTTGCTAATTCCTTCATTTTCCCTCTCCCAGGATCAGCCCGGGTCAGACTGAGCTGCTGCAATTAACAGCATCCGCAGGCAGGCGGGCTGGGGGCGGGGGCTCGGGACCCGCTGTCCCCATCCCCGGCCACCCCCTGCCACAGGGACCCCAGAGCCGGCTCTGATCACTGACTGATGCTCACAGTCACTCTGCCCCCACCCCCTCCGCCCAGCCACCTCCTGACTCCTCCCTCAAACGCCCCCCCCCAAATTCACCAGGTGCCTCTTCAAATCCAGACCCCAACCTCACTCACTTAACAGGTATAGCACAAGTTTCTCCTCAGGGACTGCCCCCAGGCGCCATCAAGACACACACAGAGGGGACAGAGGTGGGGACAGGGGAGCAGAAGTGCAGGAGGGACCCAGGGACAGGCCAGGGGAGAGCAAGGGCAGAGGGGAGCCGTGGAGGCCGAGCCTCATGGTGTCCCTGCACGGCTAATGCCTGAGCTTCAGCTGCCCTGAGAAGGGCCGCCGGGGGTTGGCTTCCAGTGCCAACACTGTATCCCGGGACTCTTTACCCTGGGGAGCCTGGAAGAGGGACCCCCCCATCATCCAGGCTCCCGGCTCCCGGGTGCTGATGTCGGGGCACTGTGGGCAGGGACCCTGTTCTGCTGAGTCCCCTCAGCTCCGTCTGTGATGGAGTGGACGTCTGTGCACCAGCCAGACGCAGGCGCATTTTTTTTGGTACAGGGGACTGCACCCACATCCCAGCCCTTTGCAAGTTTTGTTCTGAGACAGGATCTCACTGAGTTGCTGAGGCTGGCCTTGAACTTGTGGTCCTCCTACCTCAGCCTCTGGACTCGCTGAGATTCCAGGTGTGCACCCCGAGCCTGCACTGCTGGATTCTTACCAATGTCATGGCACATAACATGGAGGCAGTGGACCCTTCCAGGTGGTCCCCTGGGGTCCACCCGACCCTCCTCTTCCTCACGACCATGTGTGTCATCAGCAGGCCCCATGGCCTGGACCCGAGGTTATCACCCACCCCGACCAGCTCCCACCCAAGGCCTCACCTTCCACCTGTCCCCTGCTTCTCTCCCTGGGTCCTGGGTTCCTTCCTGGCTCCTGGCTCACTGGGGTAGTGATCAAATCCTCATCATAACCCGGAGGCCCTGCATGACCATGACATGGCCCCACTGGCCACTCTGTTCACCCTCACCTTACTTGCTCCTCTCCAGAACCCTAGGTCTCAAGGCTGTGACCTGCTTTCCAAAAGGTCTGCCTCAGGACCTTTGCACTTGCTGTGTCCCCAGGCCTGGACCACTCTTCTTCCTTACAGCTTCCTCCCTAACCTCCAGGAAGTCACTTCCTCAGAGAGGTGGTGCCTGACCTGTGACCTAAGACATCACCTCAACTGGGTCCACTGCCGCTCAGTGACAATGTATTGAGCCCTTCCTGCAACCCAAGCACTATTCTAGCTCAGCAGACAAAGGGCACACAATAAACAAGATAAGCACCTGCCGCCTGTGTCCGGTGACAATGCCGGGGAAAGGTGTAAAACCAGAAAGGAAGACGGGTGTGAACCTGGGCTGTGGGGGAAGGCTTTCCTGAAAAGCTGGCTTTCTGAGGGAAGGGGATCCCGGTGGAGGACCATAGGCAGCCTCCTAGGAGCCAGGAGGAAGTGAGACCAGGGAGGAAGGCGGGGCAGGGCCCTGTGTGCAGGGTGTGGAGGTCAGGGACACAGGAAGGTGGTCAGTGGGTGTTTGTTGAAAGAGGAGGGCGAGCTGATGTGAGGCAGAGCCTTCTGTTTCCTAGACTGACCCTGGGGGCTGGACTGTAACATCCATCGGCCCATTTTACAGATGGCTGACTGAGGCCCTGAGTAACAGATACCCCCACCAGGAGATCTGCAAGGTAGGCGCCATCCCTATGCTGCAGTCCCTGCTGTGTGCCCTCTGTGTGGCCTGGGGCCACCGGAGTACCTCCCCCTATGGCTTCTGAGGGCTCAGCTGGTTCTCTGTGTGGGGCGCCTGGCTTAGCATCGGGCAGGCAGTCACCGGCCACTCTTCAGGGGCGACAGCAGGCTCCGCTGTCTGGTTTCAGCCGAGACATCCTCAGTTTCCCCACCTGAACTACAGAAGCAGGTGTTTAGCCCCCTACTGGGGGACCCCTACAGCTGCAGGCGTCTGTCCCCCATCTTCCAACCTGGGGGCTACGGTCCAGCAGTACCGCGCCCACACACGCTGGCCCAACCCCAGCTGGCTCTGGCATACAGGTGGCCTGTCACCCCATGCTGTCACCTCGGGGAACCCCTGCCCCCTCTGAGCCTCGGAATGCCCATCCAGGTAGTGGGGGGACGGCAGGCCCACTCTCTCAGCCCCCCTCTTCCTCCTGGAGCTCAGGGACAATAGACAAGATGTTTATCCCCGCCGGCGCACATGTTGTTCGAGGTAATGACAGTAATCAGCGGCGCTAATGCCGCATTCTCTCAGCGCCAGTCAATTCGCCTAATTACCGCCTGGGAAGCCGGATTATTTAAATTTAAATGGTGATTTATTGCGAGTTTAATCAATGCTATTTTCTCTCCCCCCCTCCTCCTCTGGGACCAGGGCAGGAGGGGAATTGGAGCCCCTGCAACCCCACCCTAAGGACACCCCTTCTCCTGCGGCAGGGGTCAGGGGTAGCCTGGTGCATCCTGTGCCTTTTGCCTGCGACCCCAGATTAACGCCGTTCACCGTCTTCTTTTAATAACAGTGAAGCAGAGATGCATCAAATATAAGTGGTAATGACAAGGACAGAGCCCTTCTGGGCATCAATAGTCAAGTCTGAGTGATAATCAAATTAGTTACACATCTGTATTTCACGTAGCCTAGGTTCTTAGGGATTCCAGATGACAGGGGCTTATTTCTCTGCGTCTCGGCGGAGTGGCTCCAGGGCGGGAACTTTGCTCTACTTTGATGCTGGACCCTGAGGGCTGGGAACGCGGGAGGCAGAGGCTCCCGGCCACAGCCCCGCAGCCTGACCACTCTGCCCCTCTGAGCCGGGCCTGCCCGCTCCTCGGCCTTCTGGGGGAGGTTGGAGGGTTAGTCCCATTTCATGAACAAGGCACCAGGAGGGGAGGCCACCTGCCCAAGGCTACAGAGCTGGGGGGCGGCAGAGCCAGCCCAGAGACCAAGGCACATCTCCCTGAACCGCCTCATGTCCCCCCTTGGCTGAGCTGTCTCCCTCACGCACCCCAAACCCGGGATTCGGGCGCCAACGTCCTTGCATGCCCTCTGCGCTCCGCAGGTCTGGGCGCGGTATCTCCCACGAGTGATGGGAACCCAAAGTGGGTTCTCTGCGGCTCACCCATCAGACATGGGGATTCTTTGGGAGAAGAATGATTCACCTCCCCTAATAAAAATAACAGCTGTTACTGGCGATGCCTGGTGTTGCCGCGTCCTGGCTTAGGCCAAAATTTACGAAATCGCCACAATTTCTGTGCCCATTTCACAGATTAATAAACCGAGGCTTGGAGAGCAGGAGCCACGTGATAGGGACACACAAAGGGCCTGGCCGACTCCCCTGGAGCTGGACCAGGGCTCAATCTCCTGCGGCCCGGATCCCAGTTTCTGGGTCCCTAGAACCCTGGCGCCCCGCGCATGCGCACTCACCGAGGCCGGCCGGTGGTCCCACCGCCCGCAGGCCCCAGGGCGGCGCCCCCAGCGCTGCGAAGCGTCGCAGGCGGAGGTAGGTGACGCTGAGACGCACGATGGAGGCCTTGTCCAGCTGGCTGGAGATGGCGCCGGGCAGCGGGAGTAGCTTGGCCAGCTCGAAGAACTCTAGGTTTTCCTTCCCGCGCCGCGAGCGCGCCGCATTACGGGACTTCTCCTTGCGCTGCGCCTGCAGGCTGGGTGGGCGGCCGGGAGGAGGCATCAGCTGGGCAAGGGCCCAGGGAGAGGGGCGGGGGGCAAGCCCGGCCTCCTGGGGCCCCGGGACCTGGAGGGACACTGGGAGTGCACTCAATCCCCTGGCGATGGGGGCAGACCTGAGTGCGAATTCTATACGTGGCCGGCGGTGGGGACAGACCTGGGTGGAAGCCCGTCCTCTAGGGGGCGGAGGAAGAAGGGAGGGGTTAACAATCCTGATTCTGAATTCTGGCCGAAGGGACTAGAAACCGAACGCAGCAGACAGGTACCCAACCACCGTTCCGTAAGTCGGGGCGGGGCAGAACGCTCGGGAGGAACCCTCCCCGGGGACGCGGACCCAAAAGTGAGTGTGAATTCTCCCCGGGGCACCTCCCCGGGGGCGGGGCCATAACCAAGGGGGCGGGGCTTAGCTCACCAGGGTCCAGGCGGGGCCTTGACCATCAGCCCAGGCAGAAAGTCCCACGGGACGCTGGCGCCACGGCCTCCCCCGCACTTGACCTCGCTTCCGCCGCCACTGCCGGGATAGGGGGCCGCCATCTCGCGGGGCTGCTTCAGGCAGGCTCAGGGACCCGCGTCTCCTGCAGCCGGAAGGAGTCAGAGGCGGCGCTCAGTGCCCTGGGGAAACCTTTGGGGAAACTGAGGTCCCTGCGGGGTCCCTGAAGCTGGCCTGGATGGTGCCTCAGTTTCCCCTCCTTAGAGGCCCGGGGACAGAAGCCGCAGCTCCTACCCTGCCCTGCCCCTGGCTGGCGCTCTGGGTGAGGACGTGCCCCGCCGCCGCCTCCCCCGCGCCGCCCGCCAGCGCGCCCGCCTCACGCCCGCGCCGGGCCGGCTCCCGCATACCAATGGGCGCACGCGGCGCGCATACGGATCGGACCGGCCCGCGCGCTGCGTGCCAAGCATGCCCAAGCCGGGCTGGGGGCGGGCGCCTTGCGGGGCCCAGGCACGCAGGGCTCCAGGCCCCTGGCCCGAGGTCCCGGGGGTCCGCCCCCCAAACCCATCCCCAGCGTCGGCCTCCTCGGATCCGCGGTGCGCCAGTTTCCGAGGCTAGGCTAATGAGGTCGGGGGCAGAGGCCAGGGCCCCACCCTAGGTCCTGCCCAGGGATCCCTCAGTCCCTCGGGGGTGGCGCCAAGTGTCGGAGCCGCCAAATTTCCGCAATTTCAACTTCCTCTCTGAAGACCCCAGCGTGCGAGAGCCAACCGCCATGCGGTGACCAGAGCCTCGGCCCCGGGACCCCCCAGATGGACCTATACTCAGGGCCCGGGTGTCTTGGTATCCGGATCCTCTAGAACCAGAAGGTTTTTCTTCCAGAACTGGGCTCCAGGACGCCCCTTTCCTGAAGGATCCAGGCCGCCCCAAAGCCTCCGCAGCCAGGTGTCCAGATGCCCCCGACCCTGGCGTCTAGGTTCCCTGATCTCCTATGTCCCCAGGACTCAAACAGCAGTGTACCCCTGTCCCCAGCCTGGGGATACAGTCGTCCTGATCCTCTAGCCCCCAGGACACTAGAGTTGCGACCCCATATTCCTCCAGGACCCAGGAGTTCCTCTTCCCATCCATTCAAGCCTCCAGGCGTCCCCAACTCAGAGGACACCAACCCGGTTACCTGGCCGCGGGGCAGACTCCAGGCGCGGCGTGAGGCCGGCCAGGCGGCGCAGAGGGGCCACTCCATAGACCCTGGGGCGAGCGGGGCTCCGCGGGCTGTGGCGCCTGGCTCTCGGCGCCCACCGCAGCCCCGCAGACTTGGAGACCGCGGACAGCGCCGCCGGGCGGGGGCGGGGTCTGTCGGGACCCCGCCCACCGCGCTCCACCCCTCGGCCCAGCCCACCGCCAGCTCTCGCGCCTTTGGTTGGTAGGGAGTCCTCACCTCGGTGTCCCGCAGCCCGGCCTCACCTCACAGCAACATCAGGGGTCAAAACCTCGGAGTCGAGCGTCTCCAGCCCTGGACAGGAACCCGGAGTCCCCGCATATTCACCAGGCTCGGAAGGTGTCAGATAATCCTGCCTTCCAACAGCCCCTCGGACAAGGACAGTACCCTGCGCCCAAGCCCCCCATAGGAGACTCAGACGTCCCCTCCAGGGACACAGATCCAGGCGTTGGAGACCCTCCCTTTCCAGTTGAGAATTTTGGGGTGCCAGCATACCCTTCCCCGATAAGCCTGGGACCTCGTACCGGAGCCTACACCCCTTACAAGGCCAGGATTTGGCGTCCAGACCTAGCCCCTTTCCAGAGGTCTCTGATACTAGCACTTGGGTGCCTGAGGAACTCCGAGGCCAGGAACCTGGGGTCTTACGTCCATGTCCCACTGCAGAGACATCCGAGCCAGTTAGGTGGTAAATGGGAACTGAGGGGTTGTAGCCGCTGGGACAGATGGCAGGGACCCAGGTGTCCAAGCCAGGTCTTGCCAACTCTGATAGGGGATCCTACACTCATTCCAGACTTCCTCTCCTCCAGACCCGGGTCCCAGCGTGCTCTGCTGCCTGCTTGGAAGGCAGGTCTGCAGGTACTTAAGGCCTCTGGAGTGAGATCCCAACCTGGGGATGGAAAACAGGGGTCTCTAGGAGAGGGAGGCAGGCAGGTGTTCCCAGAGAGTGTGCGCACCTCTGAACAGATCGGTAAACAGAGGAATGTGTGTGCGCACTGGCTCAGAAGAGCACTCAAACACAGTCATAGTTCACGATTAGGGGGTGCCGATTTTTGGCGGTCCTTTATTCTATAGCAAGGTCTGCACTGGCCTCTCTAATAGGTCCATTTTACACCTAGAGAAACTGAGGCACAGACAGGCTCAATAGCCTGGTTATGATGATCTCTCAACCAGCAATATTCACACGTGTCTGGGAGGGACTCAGGCCCAGGTCACTGGCTCCTGTCTCTCTCTCTCTCTCTTTTTCCCTTTGGGGGGATTAAACTCAGGGGCACTCAACCATTGAGCCCCACCCCTGGCCCTATTTTGTATTTCATTTAGAGACAGTGTCTCACTGAGTTTCCTATGCCTCGCTTTTGCTGAGGCTGGCTTTGAACTGGCGGTCCTCCTGTCTCAGCCTCCCGAGCCTGTTTGGGATTTCAGGTGTGCACCGCCAGGCCTGGCTGGCTCCTGTCTCTTGACATTACTTTGGCTGTGAGGCCTGGGCAGGCACAAGGCCGCCTCAAGAGGTGCCCAGTACTGAGGTTTATGGCTCCGGACACATGCAGCTCTAGTGGAGGTTAGGGTCCTGCTGCTGGGGTTGCTGCTGCACTTCCTGCTGAGGGCTCCACCTGTCTGGGCCTCCCTTTTGTCCCCCGTAAAAAGAGGATGATTGAATTCTGGTTTTCCCCTCTTGCATCTGTGGGGTTATCATTTTCATCCAACAGTTCTCACTGTGACCTGGGGACAAAACCCCTCAGAGATCTGCCAGAGATACATACGGAGACATTTTCTGCTTGTTCTGCTTCAGTATCCCTCAAGCATCTGGTGGCTGCCCAAAGGCTGTGTTGCATGGAATATTGCAACAGACCAGCCACAGAAGCAGCCTTCGGAGTCCAACCATCTTCTTTAAGCTTCACACTAAAATGATTTGCAAAAACGTAAAACAGCTGACTGTGTTACACCTTTAAACTCAGCCGCTCAGGAGGCTGAGGCAGGAGGATCTCGAGTTCAAAGCCAGCCTCAGCAAAAGCAAGATGCTAAGCAA